ATCTCTGACTTCCTTTTGAAATATTAAATTCAAAGCCCCAACTTGGGCAACAACACTCTGTCCTTCTAGCCCCCTCATTTCCTTCTACTCTTTATTCTTGGACCCATGAGACACTGTAGTCCCTTAACTCTTCATTTTCTCCTAATCAGCTATACCATCTTCACCTCTCTTCCTATCCAGCTTAAATTTCATGGTCTATCATTTTAACCACTCTCCTGCCCCTCTCTAGGTGCCCTCTTATTTTCCTTCCTGCAAACCCCTGGCCTAGTTTCACTTTGTTTGCTGGTTTACACCCAGGATGCAAATGACTACTGAAAAACACCATGACCATTCAGACCAGTGTCTCTGCTCTGGAATCCTTTTTCTTAGTCAGCTTTCTTTTAGTTTTCCACAGTGACTTCCTTAAAACCTCCTCCTTATACTAGTTCATTTTAGAGAACAGGATACATATGTTAATTTTAATACCATAATAAATAGAAAATCTTATCTACTTCCAGGAGATAATCATATGAGAATGCCCTTGAAATTCCACCACTCAATTGTATATTTAACTCTATTCTTACTTGTCCTTTTATCCTTTCCTCCTGTCCTGTCTGAAGCTAATCCCTATACTTGGGGTCTTGGTCTCGCCCCTGCCACCTTCTCAGGGACCAGTGGTTACCAGTGATCCTCTAACTTATTCCTTTATTTCCCATTGCACTTGCTCTTTCCCAGCCACATTAAAGTGTGCTCACATCTTCTTATCTTTGAAAGAAATACTCTGGACCCCTTTGGGGGCCACCTTACCCCTCCGTGTCCATTCACATCCAAGCTTCTTGAAATAATTAACTGCCCTCAGTGTCTATCTACTTGCTTACTCATTTTCCAGCCCTCTGCCCTACTCCAGCTGCTTTCATCAAATTACCAACAACCTCCTGGTGGCTAAAATCAGAGGACGTTCTTAGTTCTTAACTTGACTACCCCCTTTTGAAATAGAATTTGCTTGACTTCTGTAGTTTCACATTCCTGGTTTTTCCCTTGCCTCTCTGGCTCCTCCTTGTCAGTCCACCTTCAAAGAGGCAGTGCTATGTTTATTAGTGGTCAGCCATGGTACTTAACAACCTGGACTTGGGAGATAGGTCTGGGTTCATATGCTGCTTCCACTTTTCAGAGTTTCCATTTCTTTAACTAAAATAGCAATATAAGTCTTTTTGTGAAGCCCTAATATTGCAGTCAGTGGAATTATACATTGAAGGTCCTCAGTACTGTTTGACACACAGTAAGTAGGCATGCACTAAAATTCCCTTATTCTCCAGGCTTATAATAAGTGCCCCTCCTATGTGCTACCATATTATCCTTGATCTTTCTCATTAGGCTCCAGAGAGGAGGGGCCCTGATACCCTGCTCCACTGTTGTGCCAGGCACACATTAGGCACCCTGCAAATGTCTGTTGACTGCTTCAAGTGTTTTAATATATGGCAAAGGTGATACTTTAAATTAGTGGGCCAAAGGATTGTTGATAAATAATGATGCATAATTGATAAATGGAAAACTATTTGTGAAAATATAAAAGGTGGATCCTTACCATTTACTAAACTAGTTTTAAGATGGATTAGTGACATTAAAAAGAAAAAATTAATTCTGCTCAATTCAGCAAGATCAAAAAGATTTTTAGAGAATGAGAATGAGATATAAAAAGTGTGGATGGGCCCAGCGCAGTGGCTCACACCTATAATCCCAGCACTTTGGGAGGTCCAGGCGGGTGGATCACGAGGTCAAGAGATCAAGACCATCCTGGTCAACAAGGTGAAACCCTGCCTCTATTAAAAATACAAAAATTAGCTGGGCATGGTGGCGTGTGCCTGTAATCCCAGCTACTCGGGAGGGTGAGGCAGGAGAATTGCTTGAACCCAGAAGGCGGAGGTTGCGGTGAGCCGAGATCGTGCCATTATACTCCAGTCTGGGTAACAACAGTGAAACTCCGTCTCAGAAAAAAAAGTGTGGATGAATATTTTTCTGATCTTGGAGGTGAAAAAGGCCTTAAGCATACAATAAGCATCAACCATAAAAGAAAATATGGATAGATTTAACTCAGTGAAACTTAAATTTTACTATATAAGAAAACATCATAAAAGTAAATGACTAGCTAGGAAAATATTTGTGCCATTTAGGACAAACCATTTATTCAGTAAATACTGTATGATCTACTAGAGCTCAGAGATAACAGAAACTATTCTAGCTCAGAAAGATACTTTATCCAGGAAACTAGGAATTACAAAATTGTTGGAAGAGCCAAAGAAGAACTATAGACTGGGTTTCCAGAGTGACAAGAACATTGTAAGGACAGATACGGTGGCTCACGCCTGTAATCCCAGTACTTTGGGATGCCAAGGTGAGTGGATCACTTTGAGGTCAGGAGTTCAAGACCATCCTGGCCAACATAGTGAAACCTCATCACTACTAAAAATGCCAAAAAGATAGCCAGGCCTCATGGTGCACGCCTATACTCGGGAAGCTGAGGCAGGAGAATTGCTTGAACTCGGGAGGTAGAGGTGGCAGTGAGCCAAGATTGCGCCATTGCACTCCAGCCTGGACAACAGAGCAAGACTCCACCTCAATAAAAAAAGAAAAGAAAACAAGAACATTTTAGAACTGGCCCACCAGAGATCTACTTCCTGTTTCTGCTGTGATCAAGAAACTACTAGGGTGGGGTACTGGCTCCAGGATTACTCCCAACATTGTATAATAGCAGGAGGAAGGGGGTAGAAAGGAAGATAGTGAGCTAGCATATTATTGATGAAATAAAGATGTCATAGAAATCAATAAGAAAAAGACCAATAAAATATAAAAACAATAAAGTGTATGTACAAAAGATGAACAACAGGATGCTGATTGCTGACTTTTATTGAGTTTTACTCTATGTCCAGAACCTATCTAAATACTTAATATGTACTAACTCCTTTCAATAACCTTATAAAGTAGAAACTATCCCAATACCCATTTTACAGATGAGGAAACAGAGGTAAAGCAGGTTAAATATATTGCCCAAGGTCAGAGCTATTGAGAGGTAGGCATTTATACTCAAACTCATGGACCATGGTAGATCTGAAAAAAAGGAAAAAATTGGAATGATGTGATGGCTCAAGAATTGGACATTGATAATAGGAATTAAGAAAGAAGCTGGCTTGAAGAGGGTGTAATGAATTTGTTTCTAGATGTGCTTAGCTTGATATGATGGTGTGGCATCCTTTTAGAAATAATTTCTGGCTGGGTGTGGTGGCTCATGCCTGTACTCTCTACACTTTGGGAGGCTGGGGTAGGTGGATCACTTGAGCCCAGGAGTTCAAGACCAGCATGGACAACATAGTGAGACCCTGTTTCTACAAAATTAAATATTTTTTTTTCTTGAGATGGAGTCTTGCTCTGTCACCCCTGAGCTGGAGTGCAGTAGTGCGATCTCAGCTCACTGAAACCTCTACCTTCTGGGTTTAAGTGATTCTCCTGCCTCAGCCTCCCCAGTAGCTAGGATTACAGGCATGTGTCACTGCGCCTGGCTAATTTTTGTATTTTGTTTGTTTGTTTGTTTTTTAGTAGAGACAGGGTTTCATCATGGCCAGGCTGGTCTCGAACTCCTGTTGGCCAGGCTGGTCTCAATCTCAGGTGATCTGCCCACCTCGGCCTCCCAGAGTGCTGGAATTACAGGCGTGAGCCACTGCGCCTGGCCAAAATAAATAAATTTGAAAATAAAACTAACTCAACTTCTGAGCTATGGAATAGTTCTCTGTACCTCCAGTAGCTAATAAAGGACCCAAATACTGCAATATCTGATCTGCTCATTTTTCTATTGCTGCCTATTAGCTAAATCTTTTTCCTTGTTCTCATTGAGTAACGGATATCATCTTAGAAAGAGGAACATGTAAGCCCAAAATTGTTGTGTTTGCCTTCTGCAAGTTTTTTTAGATCTGCTCTTTAAAAATTTTTCTTTTTTATTTTATTTTGAAACAGAGCCTTGCTCTGTCACCCAGGCTGGAGTGTAGTGGTATGATCTCAGCTTACTGCAGCAACTGCCTCCCAGGCTCAAGCAATCTTCCCACTTCAGCTTCTGGAGTAGCTGGGACCATAAGCATGGGTGCCACCATGCCCAGCTATAGATCTGCTTTGATTGACCACTGTGATGGAAGCTGAATTGTTCTATACAAAATAGCAAAAACCAAACACTTTTTCCCTTTTGACATTGCTTTTTTAACAATTTCATAATAGTTTTAAGAAACATCTAGCCAGCTAGATGTTTTTCATCTGTTTTCAAGCCCCAGTTGCTCCAGCAGAATTGCACACTTTTCCCAGCTGATTAACCTTTAGGTTATAAATTTGTCATGGGAAATGCTAACTCACACTGGCTTCCTCCTACCCCTTCACTTGCTCTTGGGCCCTTTCATCATCTAGCACTGTATAAAGAAAAATCTTTTCTTTTTTAAGACGAGGTCTTGCTCTGTCTCCCAGGCCGAATAGTGCAATGGTGCCATCTCAGCTCACTGCAACCTCCACCTTCCCCAAGTTTAAGTGATTCTCCTGCCTCAGCCTCCCGAGTACCTGGGAGTACAGGCACTCGCCACCAAGCGCAGCCAATTTTTGTATTTTTAGTAGAGATGGGGTTTCACCATGCTGGCCAGGCTGGTCTCAAACTCCTGACCTCAAGTGATCCACCCGCCTAGGCCTCCCAAAGTGCTGGGATTACAGGTGAGCCACTGCACCCAGCCGAGAATCATTTTTATTCAGACTCAATGAGATATAATTAGTACATTAAAATCAATTTATATTTATAAGATTCTATATTCCAAAACTGTAGAACTCCTAAAATGTATCCCAGAGTCAGTAATAAAGTTATCCACTTACTTTATTAGAGAAAAAGTTTGAGCTTTGGTGTAAAAATGGTAGCACGAGGAATCCAAGTTGTTGCCACTTGATAACTATGACTCTGGACAAGCTGTTTATCCCTCAAGTCTCAGCTCCTTCATCTGTAAAACAGCAATATTAATGGCTGTCTCAAAGGGTTGTGGTGAGGGTTAAGTGAGCTAACACACATAAAGCACTGGCTATAATATTTAATAATTGGTAGCTGTTATTCTAAACCATCGAGTTTACTGTTAGCACTCCTCTCTTCAGAGATTCACTTAAGATGATTGCAAGGTGAGAAGATTCACAACCTGATGTATGAGTAGCACCTTAAATTGCTTTAGGAGCAAAGGACTGACTTTAGTTACTCTTCTCCCAGTAGTTGGCCCCATTCCCTTGCTTTCCATCACTGTATAAAGAACCTCAATTCTGGCATGATATGAAACAAACCATATTGTAGTTGGTCAAAAACTTCTAATGGAGGAACAAACACGATTGTTAGGTTGGAAACTGAATATTAGTCACAGATAGTGTCTGTTAATTTTCTAATCATGACAGATGTTACCTGGATGCTGAAAAATGCCAACTCTCAAAATCCTGAGGGGAGGATCGATTACTAAATAAAGAATGGCTAGCACAAGGAATGGGAAAGAAAACGAAGGTTTTCTGAGTGTCTTTTCCAAGGACTCTTCATAGCACGGGGCAGGTTCCCATACCTTAATTAATCTTCTCAACAATACTAAAAGGTAGCATCTTTTTAGGGTGACCATGTCCTGGGTTTTGTTTGTTGCCCTACTGTCACCTTATTTTCTATAATCTGTACTTTAAGGTTGAAGGAATCTAAAGGAAGGTAAGTATTTTGTGCATGGTTATAAAGCCAGAACCCTCCTTCTTTCTGCAGCTGGATTTCTTCTAAGAATATCCCATGCCTACCTTGTCCAGCTACAGCCTGGCTTCTCTAACAAAGCCATCTTGACCTGCTGTTTGCTAAATCCATGGTCACTCAGGGCTTCATCTTACTTGACGTATGTGCAGCACTTGATAGTGTTTACCACTCCCTTCTCTTCCATGCTCTCTCTGGCTTCCATGGCTACATTCCCTGCTTGGCCTCTTTCACCTCTCTAGCCTTCCTTTCCAGTGTTCTTTTCTCCTCCCCTTCCTTTGATAGTGTTCCTCCCCAAAACTCTGCTTAATTTACACTTTGCCCTTAAGGGGATGTGATCTTTGACTGTCTACAGTTGCTATCTGCTAATAATTCCCTCACCTATAACTCTAGCCCAGAGCTGTCTTTCAGGATGCAGTCCTATATATCCAGTAAGATCTGGACATGTGCCTGCATGCCCCAGAGTTACCTCATATAGCTAACTAAAAATTCATCACTTTCCTTCCCAAAGTCCTCTTCCAGCAGTCCCTTTTTCTGCCAGTGGACTCACCATCCAGGCCAGACACAGGTGTCATCCTTGACTCCTCCCTTTGCCTTAGACCCCTGCCCAAATTATCAAGTCCTGCAATTCTCTCTTAACTTTAGTTCATCTTCTCAAATCTCCACTGCCACTAACCTAGTTCTGGCTGCCTTCGGCTCTCTCCTGGACTACTGCATTAGCGCCAGTCTCTCTGTCTCCACTTTCCCTCCTTCATTTCCCTCTCTTGACATTGTAGTCAAGTCACCTTTTTAAAATGCAAATATGATCATGGGATTCTCTCTATAAAACCCTTAACTCTGGCACAGTGGCTCATGTATGTAATCCCAGCACTTTGGGAGGCCAAGGCGGGCAGATCATGAGGTCAAGAGTTTGAGACCAGCCTGGCCAACATGGTGAAACCCTGTCTCTACTAAAAATACAAAAATTAGCCCATTTTGGTGGTGGGCACCTGTAATCCCAACTACTCAGGAGGCTGAGTCAGGAGAATTGCTTGAACCCAGGAGGTGGAGGTTGCAGTGAGCTGAGATCGTGCCATTGCACTCTGGCCTGGGCAACAAGAGCAAGACTCTGTCTCAAAAAACAAAAACAAACCACAATTTTGAATTGTACACTGTAAAAGGGTGAATATTATGGTATGTGAATTATGTCTCAATAAAAAAAAAAAATCTGGTTTACAAAGCCTTCTGTGATTTGGTCTGGCTCAACATCTCTCACTGGCTGCCTTCCCCCTGCCTCCCATGTTCCTCTTAGCTTTACCAAGCTGCAGTTCCTTCTGCCTGCAAGCTATCCACACTCTCTCAAATCTACGTTTGCATTTCCTATTTATTCTGTACAGGAAGCATTCTCTCCTCCACCTATCCCTTGTCCTCTTCCTCTCCACTTGACTGACTCCTCCTTGTCCTTTAAACCTTAGTTTGAAATGATACTTCCCCAGAAGGCTTGATCCCCCCACCAGGATTGGGTTAGGTGCTCCTGATATGTGTTTCACACCTAGCTCTTTTGTAGCATTCACCAACTATTTGTTCATTCTATATTTATTGAGTGACTGCTCTGGGCTGGGCACTGGGCTAGATGCTGGGTGTTTCACAAAGAAGCTATGTGGTCCCTGCCCCCATGGTGCTTACAGTCTAAGAAGGGAAGAAAATGGACATTAAACAGTGAATTATTGTAAATATTTTAATTATAATTATGAAGTTTCAGAGCACCCTGGGGAGGGCACATTAAGGGACTTAACATAATTGTAGGTATCAGAGAAAGTGTCATGTAAGCAACTTTAAGGAGCCAGGTGGCCAACTGAAGAGTGGCAGATAGAGTGTTGCATGCAGAGGTACAGCAGGTAAGAAGGCTCTGACACAAAGCTTTGGGGGCATTTCAGAAACTGAAAGGCCAACCTGGGAGACAAACAAGAGCCCGGAAGAGCCAAATCTTACCTTCTGGACTAGGGTTTCTAAGTTCATCTTAAGAGAAGTAGGTAGTCTTTGAAGACTTTTAACATGGGAACTTTAAAAGTCCCTGGCTACTATGTAAATAATGAAGCAGGATAACAAGTTAAGAGACTCACAAACTTTCATGAATCTCCCACTAAACTGTAAGCTTCTAGAAGGCAGAAAAAGGTAGCACTGGGAATCCAAGCTGTTGCCACTTAATAACTGGGCAAGCTGTTTATCCCTCAAGTCTCAGCTCCTTCATCTGTAAAACAGCGATATTAATGGCTATCTCAAAGGGTTGTGGTGAGGGTTAAGTGCGCTAACGTACATAAAGCACTGGCTATAATGATACTCAATAATTGGTAGCTGTTATTCTAAACCATCCAGTTTACTGTTAGCACTCCTCTCCTCAGAGATTCACTTAAGAGATTGCAAAGTGAGATTATTTTTTATATCCACAGTTTCCAGGACTTTGCCTGACAGATGCTCAGTATCATTTTAATGAATCGGATAAATGATAGGGCCAAGATTCCAACCTAGGCTTTCAAGAAAGGCTCAGCTCAAGTATCAATGCCCTATCTCCCTTACACACAACCCTTCAAAGACCATTTCTCCACTCCACCCTAGACTGGGCTGGATACTCCCCCCTTTACCTCCAGTGCATCTCTGGTCGATTGTATTTTCTAAATATGGCCACAATAATGTGTCACATCCCATGTGTTCTTACAGTGTAATTTTGAGACCCTCCCCACTGAGAGGTGGGAGCTAGTTCCCTCCCCTTGGAATTGAGGCTAGGTCATATGATTCAGCTTCCTCTTGGTTCTCTTGGGATGCTGTTCTTAGAACCCAGCCACCATGCTGTGAGAAAGGCCAAACTGCCCTATGTAGAGGCCCACATGGAGAAGAAATGATAGTCGACATTAAGTTGAGAATTATGTGAGTGAGCCATCTTGAAAGTGGATCCTCTGGCTCCCAGCATTTCACACCTTTTGGAGTAGAAGTGAGCTGTCCCTGCTGAACCCTACCCATATTGCAGATTCATTGGCAAAATACGCAGTGATAGGTAACTAGAATAGCATCTCATGTTTGACATGCAGGGAGGCGGTATGTTAGTTGGATGGGCCATGACTACCTTGGTACTTATTAGTTGTATGACTTTTGGCAAGTTACTTAACCTCTCTCTGCTTTAGTGTCATTTTTCAGTATAAATAAAAATAGTCTTAAATTTGCTGGGAGGATTAATGTTGGTAAATGCAGCTCTATAGATAATACAGGTTAGTCATGTGAGCATCTCCTCAGACATGCCTCTGATCATTCAACCATTACTCTCATATGATTCTGTCTTTATAGTACTTTCACTATATTAATAATATGCTTATATGTATGTATGTGTATGTACAGGGTGAGCATTCCTAATCAGAAACCCAAAATGCTCCTACATCTGAAATTTTTGGATGCCTACATGACACCACCACAAGTAGAAAATTCTACACATAAGTACTTGACACAAACTTTGTTTCATGCACACAATTTTTTTTTTTTTTTTTTGAGATGGAGTCTCTGTTGCCCAGGCTGGAGTGCAGTGGGGTGATCTTGGCTCACTGCAGCCTCTACCTCCTGGGTTGAAGCAGTTCAGCCTCAGTAATCTCCCGAGTAGCTGAGATTACAGGCAACTGTCACACATCTGGCTAATTTTTGTATTTTTAGTAGAGACAGGGTTTCACCATGTTGGCCAGGCTTATCTTGGCCTCAGGTGATCCTTCCGCCTCCCAAAGTGCTGGGATTACAGGCATGAGCTACCATACCCAGCCCAGGCACACAATTATTTAAAATATTGGCCAGGCATGGTGGCTCACAGTTGTAATCGTAACACTTTGGGAAGCCTAGGCAGGAGGATTGCTCAAGGGCAGGAGTTTGAGGCCAGCTTGGGCAACATAAGAAGACCCTGTCTCTACAAAAAATAAAAAATTAGCCAGGCATGGTGGGGCTACTCTGAGGCAGAAGGTTGCCTGAGCTCAGGAGTTTGAGGTTACAGTGAGTTGTGATCATACCACTGCACTCAAGCCTTTACCATTTTGATGGATTTGCTTTACTTACTCTTTACCAGCTTTTTGGGTTTTGCTTTGTAGCACTTCTGGTGTGCCTAGAATACCTAGTATTTGGGCTGCATATCTATTTGATTTTGAATCCTTAATCTTTGGCTTCCAAGATAAAGATCATTCAGGTTGCAAATTCTGTGTGCTTTCTTACAGCAAAGCCATGTGCTCTTACTGATCCATCATCAGGTGGCTGTTCTTCCAACAGCAGGATATCCATGTGGATTCCCTAAACTTAGCTGTGGGGCTGGATGCATACCTTACCCTGATGTATGATTGGATGTTATAGTATCAATACCAAATGATGGATCCCCTTACTCACCTCCAAGGTACTACAGCCAGATCAATATTTGGTACAGAGTAAAACACTTGAGACTAGTCATAAATTTAGCCCCAAAGGTTAAAGCTTTAGGAATTTCTGTCATGGGTTGCCATGGTTCTGCCGCAGGTTGAGGAAGACCATTGAGACAGGTGCCAGAATATTGGGACCACATTTTTGTATTGTCACTTTTGATATTTTAATTTTGAGGCTCTTTAAATTATTGTTGTGTATGTGTGTGTGTGCATGCTATTTTAGGAGTAGGGGTAGGGGGTTGAGCTATTTGCAGAACCTGATGGAAATTAAAGCACCGTTTTCCCAGAATAATACATGTCTCTCTCTCTCTCTCTCTCTCTCACACACACACACACACACACACACACACACACAGAGTATTCAGAAACAGTTTAGGATGGCCAGGTTAATAATCCACCTGTGACTTGCCATGAAGGTAGCAACTTTTTCTATGCCATAATTTAGTTCTTTATCATGGACTATTTTCATTTATCTTTTCGTGTGTGCGTGCTTTATCCCAGTGAGCAGGCAAGCTTCCTACAGGGAACATATGCCTCTTTATGACCTCCAGTGATGTCTGCATGTAGAGACCTCACCTGGGGAAATCTTGCCAGTTGAGTCCTTTGAAGCTGCTGTGTTTCACTGAGAACAGGCGGCCTTCCCTTCAGCATTCCATCCTCCACCCACCACCCTCCAACACAAAACAAATTACCCCAAGAGGACTTGGACCCTGCGTTCATGTTCTGTTTGCATTCTAGGTTTTAGGCTAAAGCATTATTTATATACTCCTTATGCAAATATCCACTTGGCTATTTAGAGAACAAAGCAGTGCCTACTGGAAAGTTTTGGGTTTTTTTTTTAAGTATTAATAAATGAATGCATTCTATTATTTAAATATTTGTGATGTCTTTATTCCTTTATCACCTCCATACTTCACCCCATGAACTCCCATACCTGTAATCAGGACCCCCTTTTTGTTCTATCCCATGAATTCTCGAACTGCACTCCTTTCCTGGCATGTGCTTATGCCAAAAAAAAGCAGGCATGAGCCTGATGCTAATAGAATGGCAGCCACGTGGGTTTTCCTTTTTTTTTTTTTTTCTGGTCCTTCCCTCCCTCTTATAAATCTCCAGAGGCCACCTTTCTTTTTTTTTTTTGAGACGGAGTTTCGCCCTTGTTACCCAGGCTGGAGTGCAATGGCGCGATCCCGGCTCACGGCAACCTCCGCCTCCTGGGTTCAGGCAATTCTCCTGCCTCAGCCTCCCGAGTAGCTGGGATTACAGGCGTGCACCACCATGCCCAGCTAATTTTTTGTATTTTTAGTAGAGACGGAGTTTCACCATGTTGACCAGGATGGTCTCGATCTCTTGACCTCGTGATCCACCCGCCTCGGCCTCCCAAAGTGCCCACCTTTCAGTCCTAACTTTTGGAAGGGTTTTCCCATCTCCAGGCTGGTCTCCTTGACTGGATAGGTAATTACAGCCACCTGGTGGCCATATGGAGAAACGACAGATGGATTGCCCCAAAATATCTGCTGAGATCCTTTTTTGAGTTTTGCTCTTGTTGCCCAAGCTGGAGTGCAATGGCACTATCTCAGCTCACTGCAACATGCACTTCCCGAGCTCAAGTGATTCTCCTGCCTCAGCCTCCCAAGTAGCTGGGATTACAGGCATATGCCACCATGCACAGCTAATTTTTTGTATTTTTAGTAGAAATGGGGCTTCACCATGTTGACCAGGCTGGTCTCAAACTCCTGACCTCAGGTGATCTGCCCACCTCAGCCTCCCAAAGTGCTGGGATTGTAGTAGGCATGAGCCACTATGCTTGGCCAGAGACCCTCTATGGAATAATTTTTGGTTTTGGATATTGGGGAAGCAAGGAAAGAGAATCCTGTGGTAGAGACTGTAGCACAGGAATCAGACATCCTATTTCTTGGTCCTTCCTTGCCTAGTAGGGTACAACATCTCCCCCACTAGTTAAAGACAGATGAGTTTACTTAACATTTGAGTTAATTCAAAATTTATTGAGCAGCAACTGTGTGCTCAGCAGTGAGAATATAGCACTGAGCAAGATGTGAGCAAGATCTCTGCCCTCATGAGCTTACGATCTAGCAGTGCAGCCAGCCAATTTCATCCATAATTTTACAAATGTAATTTAAAACTCTGGAAAATGCATGGTGCTAACCGATTTAACAGAAAGTCCTGACCTACTAAGAAATCAGAAAAGACTTCCCCAAGGAAGGAACATTTAGGATCAGCTAGGTGGAAGGTGAAAGGAACAGTGTTACAAGCAGAGAGGACAGTGCATGAGGGCTCTGAGGCAAGATGTTTAATGAACTGAAAGCCAGTGTGTCTGGGCCATAGAGGACAAAGAGGGGTGTTATGAGATGAGCCTGAATTATACAAGGCCTTTGAATTTGGGACTTTATTCCAAAAGCAGGTGAAAGCCACTGAAGAAGCTAAGGAAAGTCAGATGTTTAGGTTTGTTTTTCATAGCTGACTCTCACTGCAGCATGGAAGGCAGAAGTGGACATGGGAGAACAGGTTTGGAAGTTTCCACAGCAGTCTGGACAAGAGGTGATGGTAATTTGGAGAAAGACAGGTTCCAGAGATATCAGGAGACAGAATATACTTGATGAGTGACTGCATGTGTGAGGAAAGGGATGTGTTTCTGGCAAGAGGTTCTGAAGTAGGAGTCTTTGGAAGAGGGACAGGTTTTGGCAGAATGAGGACATCCCATAGGCACAGGACAGGCCCTGAGGCTTGCACTAGAGGAACAGCATAGTTCCATTCTCAAATAGTTCAGGGTTTAATTGAGCAAACAAGGTACACGTAATTGCAGAGCTGATAAAGATCAAAATGATCGATTTAGATAATTCACGGACTCCTGCATTCCATGGGGTTAGATTTAAGCCCTCCATGTCACAGTAAATTCAGATACTGCTGAAGCCAACAGCAATGTTTCCACCTTTGTTCATGCCTCTCATAGCCCCTCAGAGAACACCTATACAGCTCACCCAGTATATCTCACAGGGGCCACCTTCTCCTGTGCTAGGCCCTGGTGCCCCCTGGCAGGAAGACACACTAAATACTTCTTGATTGTTTTGCTTGCTGCTGCCAGGAAGTTCACCTGTTATTCTCAAATCTCTTCCCCTCCTTAAGTTGAAGGAGACCAAATCTAGCCATTCACCCCCATAGTGGTTCTTTTTTGGTCACCAAGAGAGTCTCCTGACTTACTTAGCATCTCTCTTTACATTACCCCTGTGAAGGTGCCTCTTCTGGAGTCACCATCTTGCAACCTGTCTTCCTCATCTTCTCTAAGTGGCAAACTGCCTCCTTTTTCTCCCTCTCCACTAATTTGCCAGCCTTTTCCCCACTGTATTTTTCCCTCAGTTTGGTAAATACCCAACTCTTTGCCCCAGAAAAGTCAGAAGAGAAATTTGGGGTATGAGATTAACAAGGAAGTAGCCCCAATAGTTATTGCTTAGCTGACACTTAGCCTTCCTTGCCTCCTCTTTGCCACAGGAAAACTCTGCAAACCCCCTTCCAGAGACATTAACTGCTAACTATTCAATAGGCACACAGTTTCCTGTTGTGCAAGGAGCCTAGGACAAAGCCACACCCCAAATACTTGCTCTGAGAGCAGTGGTTACAAATATTAACATGAAATTAGACATTCAGATGGTCCCTTTATATCAAAGAACATAGACTTTGGAGTTGGGCAGACTTGAATTTGCATCCTGGCTCTAGTAGTTTCTAACTAGTGTGCCTTTGAGCTATTAAACTGTTATAAGTTTCAAAAGACTTATCTGTAAAATAGTAATGGTATCCACCTTCTGGGGTTGTTTTCTTGAAGAGGCTATTTGGGACCTGAGGCAGGAGGATCACTTGAGGCCAGGAGTTTGAGACCAGCCTGGGCAACAGAGTGAGACCCTGTGTCTACAAAAAATAAAAAAAGTAACCAGGCATTGTGGCAGGTGCCCGTAATCCCAGCTACTCAAGGCAGAGGTGGGAGGATCACTTATGCCCAGGAGTTCGAGGCTGCAGTAAGCCATGATTCTGCCACTGCACTCCAGCTTGGGTGACAGAGCAAGACCCCTTCTCTTTGAGGGAAAAAAAAAGTGTGTGTATGTGAAGTACCTAGCATAATATCTAGCCTGAATTGCCTGATAATGATTCACTTCCTTTCTTTCCCTTGGGTTTCAGCTGCCAAATACTCTTCTACAAGTAAGATAAGCCAGCTTTGTATGGTCAATGATAAACATTTCCTATTCCTCTTTTTATAAATCCCATCTTCCTGCAGAGAGCTCATTTCCATCATTGCCAAAAAAGTTCTTCCATCTCTCACCTTTGTAGAACTACTCTCAACTATCAAACAGCTCTGCCTGAACTCTATCATTTTCTACATCTCCCTAAACCAAGACACTTGATCTTCTTGTATCATTCCCAAAGATTAATTCACTTCTGGCACTCTCCCTAATTATCTCAGAGAAAAATGTAATGAAGGCAGGGAATAGGGCCTTTACACTTCAGAAGGGCACAGGCTAGTTCCTAGAGAGGAATGGATATCTAGGTCCAGGCAGCCCTCGGCCCCACCCTTTTCCTCAAGGCACAGAAAAAGCCAAACTCAAAATATGTCTCGAGTCTACATGAGTGTACGTCTCCTTTCCTACAGCTCTGTGAGATCATCATTGAAGTACAGAAGTATTGCAGGTGTGTGAAGTGTACTGTCCATATTGAGATAATCAAATTCTTCTTCCTCATCCCGGATCCCATTCTCTTCCAGGGTAAAATCCATGTTCAGGTTCTTCCCTTCATATTTCCACGTGTAGCTGGCAGCATGTGCATTATAGGGGAGATAGCGGTGTAGGATTTCCCATATTGACTCCAGAACCCCCACCTGGAGAACATAGAAGCACCCACCCCCAGAATTCTGTATGGAGTATATACATACACACACTAGGATCAGAGTGCCTCCCTTGGCAGAGAGCAGCTTCAGATACTCTACAGCCCCAGAAAAAGAAAAAAGCTGAAACTCCAGCATGCAATGAACAAGACCCTACAGATCTGAATGGCAGCCAATTCTAACTAACCCATGGCCATAAAGGGTCAACTGTCCCCTCACTATATCCATGCAATAGATTAATAAGAAAGTTGAAATGCTGTCCAACAGCATGTAAGAGCTTCGAAGGACCACCATCACTGAGATGCATGAACTGCTGTCCCCGGGCTTATAAAGGAGTCTCTTGTCCCTTTGTGACCCAGACACTCCTAGAATTCCCAACCCTGGGGACCTAGGTGCTGTGCTTTCCTCAGTAGCCTCAATGTAAAGGACAGAAAATATAGCTCCCACCGGTTATTGAAAACCTGATAGCCTGAAGATCGGCTTGAAGATTTGCTAGGATTCCTGTTCCCTCTAACCTGCCCCTCCCCCACCAGTTCTCACCTCCAGTGTGTGCTCCTGCGACGTGAGTGTGTTAATGATGCGGACGCTCCGGCTCTTGGCAGACAGCCGCCCCACCTCATAATACGACCTCTGCCACCAGGGCTTCCCAAAATCGTTGGCCCAGTCCGAACAGGGCAGCTGAGGCGGAACGTGCACAAAGCGGCCCCGCGGGGTACAATACCTCAGGCAGCCGGTCAGCGGATCTATGTGCTTGCGGATCTTTAAAGGAGGGTTTGGGGCAAGGGGGTTGAAGCCAGATCCTGTTTAAGGATCTAGCTAGCCTCCGCTTTTCCTCCCCATCCCCGCTCTCCATTGCCTCTACTCACAACCCCAGATTCCAGCAGAACTCACGTCTCCGGTCTTTGGATCAAACCAGTGACTGATGTCCTGGCCCGCAACTTCCACGATGGGTTTTAGCAGCAAGTTCCCTGGGAAAGAGCAGCCACTGTCAATGCCAGCCCTTCAAGAACCAAGCAAGCAAGCAAGGAAGCAAGCGCGCGCACACACACAAACAAACACTCCGGCCCCGGCCCAACGTGTGGCCCTTACCCTTGTATTCCTGTGCCAATGGCGTTAGGTCGTACACGCGTCCCAGGTAAGACACCCAGAGGTCTTCGGGCCTGTTATGTTGGGCCACCTCCGCCGGCGTGAAATAGCGACGCTGAAAATACTCCAAATCTGGCCCAGCCACCAGGCCCCGGCGCGGCATGGCTCTTGCTTTGTCGGTCACTGGCTCCCGTGGTTACTCCTTTGCTCCTCAGCACGCACGCACTACTGCGACCTCCGTCGCGTCCGGGAGCCAAGGGGAGCGCGTTTATCCGCTGACATGGAAACCATTGTCCTTTCCCGGCCACCGTCCACTGAGCTCAAAGACCGGTACGGGGATGGGACTGCAAGTGTTCACGGGAAACGTAGTGTGAGTTCCGCATCGGGCATAGAAAGATCAAGTAATTGAGTGGCGCCGCTTTCTGGAACTGGAGCCGGGATGGGTCGGGGAGAGGCGCGGAAAACGAACATGCTCCGTTTTGATTCAGTGGCCTGGGTTACGTGGGATATTTAGTACAGACTATCTCCCTGAGACACCAAAATAAGGGAGGAAGCAGTATGAAAGAATGTATTCTCCCTAAATTCCAGAGTTTCTAAAGGATAAGAAACTGAGGTAAAGGTCTCGCGATATCTGAAGACATCCGGCGTATGACATCGTTTCAATGAGCCACAGCACAAGAGAGGTAGGAGAAGCTCGCGAGATCTCTGCAGTTGCCGAGGAGACTAGGAGTGGGAGAAAAGGTGATCTCGCGAAAGGAAAGAGATCGGGAGCGCTCGCGAGATCTCGGACCACCCAACCCGAAAGGTGCTTAGGAAGCTGAAAGGCCCAGAGGAGGCCTCCGGGCAAATGGCTGGAGCTGGACCGACCATGCTGCTACGAGAAGAGAATGGCTGTTGCAGTCGGCGTCAAAGCAGCTCCAGCGCCGGGGTTAGCACGGGCTTTGATTCTGGGATTGAGGGGCAGTCGAGCAGCAAGATGGAGGGTGTGGGGAACTGCAGCTCCCGGCAGCCTCTGGGCTTCGTGTGAGTACCCTGCGGGCTGCCGGGAGCTGTGGTTCCTCGGACGGGCAGCCGGGATTGTGCGATCTGAGCGCTCGTTCCACCCCTCGCAGGATTCGGACGGAGAGCGCGAGGACTCGGCGGCTGCGCGCGCCCGGCAGCAGCTAGAGGCGCTGCTCAACAAAACTATGCGCATTCGCATGACAGATGGACGGACACTGGTTGGCTGCTTCCTCTGCACTGACCGCGACTGCAATGTCATCCTGGGCTCGGCGCAGGAGTTCCTCAAGCCGTCGGGTCAGTGCCCGGGGAATGCACACCCTCTTGGGAATGTGGCGGAACCTTACGCAAGGCATTTCCCCTGCAGGGCCTAGCTGCACCCCTTGTTTTCTGGAACCCGTTTTCGTGGCTCAGAGGGGCGGGACTGATTGTGGCCTGCTTCCCTGATGCTCTGATCCTTCTTTCTAGATTCCTTCTCTGCCGGGGAGCCCCGTGTGCTGGGCCTGGCCATGGTACCCGGACACCACATTGTTTCCATTGAGGTGCAGAGGGAGAGCCTGACCGGGCCTCCGTATCTCTGACCACGATCGGATACACCTTTCAGATTTCATTAAACTTATGACCGAATGGTCCCGTGTCTGTGTGTACCTGGGATGGCAGGGCAGGGATAGCACACCTCACCCCTAGAGGAAAAGCTTCATCTGAAGTCGGGAGCACTCAGCCCTCCTCTCCCAACCGGGTTGTCCAGGGGTGCCAAAGTTTCTCTCAGGTTCAGAGGTAGAGATGGGGGACAGGGCTGAATGACAGACCAGCAGGCGCCCCAGGGTGGGCCCCTGCATCTTCCCTCCCACGCTGCTGCTCCAGAATTGTGGCGGGAGGGGGTGTCATCCTGCTCCGGAAGGCCCATTGTTTCCCGCCCCGGGCTGGCAACACCGAGTTCCTCTAAGCCGGGGTCAGAGAACGGGCTCAGGTCCCCAAGGGGAGCAGGGCAGGCAGCCGAGGCTGGGCCCCCTCCTCTCTATTGATGGGGAGGTGCCTGGGGTCAGGGACAAATCTCTGAGGTCTGGCCAGGAAGAACGGACAAAAGCGATAAGGCCAGGGGGCTGAAAGATGCACCTCTCTGCGCATTTGCAGCCCTGGCACATGTTTCCTGTTCCTCGGCACAGGACAGGAATGATCGTACTTGTGCCACTCTTCTGTTCACAGAGCACGTTCGTTAAATCTTTATTGATATGTGGACACTCCTTCCCCTCTGGCCCCACCTCCCTGCCCCCAGCCCCAGAAATACCGGAGGAGCTGCCCCATAAAAGGAGGGCATGAGATTGTGGTCCCATTCACGACACAAGGGCTGAGGGGGAGGTATGCAGGGTCCAGCCCAGAATTTGAGGATTTAGATGTGGGTAATGGAGGGAAAGGGGGTTTTCCGGGATGTAGGGGCTTTCATCAGCATTGGGTCCACTGATGCTGCTGTTCCCAAAGGGTTGTTAGGACTCCGATCAGGCAGGGGTGGGGGCAGGGCAGGTCGGAAGAAGAGGGGCTTCCAGTTCATAGGCGGAATAAGAGGGAAGGCAGCCGTCAGGGTTCTTCTTGACTCGGGGATAATTAGACCCAGACCTTTCCTGATGTGGGAAGGGCCTGGGACCCTGGTGAGGCCCGGGTTTGCCTCGGCTGCGAGGTGCGCCGACGCCGGTAAAGGGCTCGGCTGTAGGGCACGAGGCAATCGGCTAGGCGGAGGCGCAGGCAGAGGCGGCGGTAGCTGGCCAGAGCAAGCACTAGCAGCGGCACGAGGAGCAGGAATCCGGTGACCAGAAGGGCCGTGAAACCGGGGTCCCGCAGGTGCGCGGTGCAAGGGGGTGCCTGGGAGCGCAGGAACTGTGGGAGAAGAGGAGTCAGGCCCAAGCCGACCGGGCCATAACTGTGCACGGGGTGGAAACAGCCCAAGCGGGTTGAAGTTGTGGCCCATAAACCCCAACCGCCAGCATCACCACACACCAACACCCAACACTCACTCACACCCCAGGGCGCACACTCACCTGAGAGTGGCAGAGGAAGCCGAAGCCCAGCATGGTGACAGCGGGTAGCAAGATGGTCCCTAGCACCAGCGCCAACAGGAGAAGATTGAAGGCAGCCACTAGCAGATTCTGGGCTGTTACAAGCACAGCGCAGGCCCAGCAGTCCAGGGGGTCCCGGGGCTCTGGGCCGCCGGGAACCGCTCGCTGTGCCCCCGGGACATCCGCCATGGCCTGCCTGTATCCAGCCCGCCTGGGCTGCTGCCTTATAGTCCTCTTTCCTGCCCCTCCCCCGGCCCAGCCTCTCCCCACCCCCCTTATCCTGGAATGCGGCTGTAGGATTAGGCACCCCCCATCCTGAGGAGCGGACCAGAGCCCAGGACATTCCACAGGCACCTCCGGGGAGGGGCTCGCCCTTGCCAGGGTCTGCGCCGTCCTCCCCATCAATCACGGTTTTCCAGCCCTCCCGGTACGTCCCTGCTATCAACCAGCACGTTAGCGAAACAGGATTTTTTTTCCGCTTTTATTTTTAATATTAATATTCTCACACAAAAATCACCAAAAATAGGGGTAGGGTTGGGAAGACCTCTCTGCCCCTAGGGCAGAGAGACAGTGCAGTGCGAGGGTGCGGGACTGTAAATCCCCCACCCCTCCGCAGCCCCAGCGTGGACAAAAAACCACCAACAAAACGAAAATAAAGCCCCAGAGAAACTCACCCCGGGGTGTCCCTGCCCCAGTGAGGCCCTGGCCCTGGGTTGTTTCACACTTAAAAACAAAAGGGGGTAGGGGTGAAGGTCTGTGTTTTTAAAGTTGGCCGGGACTGGGAAGGACGGGGTTCCTTTTCCTCATAGTTCTTTCTTTAAAACCTTTAAATTTTTTTATTTTATTTATTTTTTTTACAAAATACCATTTCAGTTCCCACTTCTTCCCCTACAGTACAGGAGTCGCTCACCCTCAGGCGGGGTTGGGGTCGGGTCAGGAGTGAGGGGACTGGTCCGAGAAAGTGCAGGACATAGGGGAGGCGAGCGGGTTTGAGCACCATGAGAACCCGGCTGGAGCCGCGGGCGGACGGGTGAAGACGGTCGGGCCGGACCCGGACACATACTGGGGCGCAGGGAGAGCCCGGCGGTGGGCGGTCCCCGGAGGGGCAGGCAGGATGGCTCGGGGGTGTGGGAGGTCGGGTTTTCCCAAAAATGAATAAATAGAGGTGAGTGGGACTGTTATAAATTAAAAACCAAAAACAAAAAAAGAACAAAAATTACAAATCATAACCAAGTGAATAAAGAGACATGTACAGGGGTCACAGCTAGCATTGGAAATAAAAAAGGAGGTTCTGGGGGAGGGGTAAAGCCCATAGAAAGAATCTCATTAAAAACCTCGGCTGCCGTAACGTCTATGTACATATACACGAGCCGCGTGCATCTGCGCCGGGCGGGCGGGCGGCTGGCAGGGTGAGGGAACCCGTATGTGACCCCCGCCGCCGCCGGAGCCTGGTCCTTGTGTCTGTTGCTAAAAAGGCCAAAGTCGGTGAGGGGAGGGGCTGGTGGGTGAGGGGCTGCCAGCCCCCTCCCCCGTCTCCCATTTTTTTTCCTTTTTTCCTCATATTTGCTAAAAAAAATTTTTTCTTAATAAATTAAGTGAGGGGAGCTGCCAATGGGGTGGAAGGGCTGGGCCCGACCCCCTTCCCGGCCAGAGGCGGGACCCAGGTCCAGCCCAGGCATGTGCTGGTGGCCCCGCGGCGCCCTGCAAGGGCCGGCAGGCGGGCGGGGCGTCCGGCCTCATCGAGACGTGCTGGCGGGGGCCTGTGGGGACAAAGCCGGCAGTGGCTCAGGGGCAGGCCCGGCCAGGCCCCTCAAGCCCGTCCCTGCAGCCTGCCCCAGTGCCCTCCTCCGCTGACCGCACACCCGCTGGGGCCTCACCAGCGTGAAGGCGTCGTAGGCCTGCGCCAGCTCCTCCGTGCGGTACTGCTCCAGCACCACCACGCCCTGCAGGCCCGCGCTGCGGCGCCGGGCACAGCCCTCGCAGTGTACCAAGTACGTGTTGCGGCTGCCGTTCTCACTTGTCACGAACAGGATGTTAAACACCTCCACCTGGGGCAGGGAGGAGGGAGCAGTCAAGGGGAGGGAGGACCACTGTGGACACACTCAGGTGGCGCAGGAGAGCCGGCACACTCACATCGCACTCGTTGCAGTAGTAGGCTGGTTCGTCCTTGACCCGGCCCTGGTAAGCGATTTTCTTCCCTGCTCGCACCAGGCTCTCACGTTGGACCTGACAGTGCTTCATGGACTGAAGCAGGCAGAATCTGGGGAACAGTGGAGTTGTGTTGAGACCACCGGCAGGGAGGGCTGGGGCAGGGCTAGAGCAGGGGCAGAGGGGCAGCTCCAGGGCCCTCCCCGCTTCATGTCCGGGTCCCATCCTCTGTCCTGGTCATCTGTCATAAGTGAGATTTCCTGTGGCTTTTGTCTATTTGAACCACTAGGAAAGGTCAAGACCAGGGACCTAGGTAGCTTTCCCAGCATAGTAACGCTTGAGGCACAGACAGACTCGGATGGAGAGAGATGAAGAATGGGGCGCAGTCAGACAGGAAGAACTAGAACAGGGATCGGGTAGGTGGAGATGGGCTCCCACTCAAACAGGGTCCTCACTTGATCATCTTGAACAAGTCAGGGTCGCTGATTTTGACCGTGCGAGCCACGTTCCATGACACGTGAATCATGGGCACGATGGATTTGACGTTCTTCACCTCGTTCCACTCATATCGTTCCAGGGCCAGCTGGTACTGATAGGCTGCGGGCCAGAGGCGATCACAATAGGACTCTCACACAGTCCCCAGATACCTAGGCCCAAGCCCTTTCCCTCCCTGCTGGCGGCTCTCCAAGCCCCTCCTCCCAGCCCCTTGCCGCGGAGGCCCCACACCCCGCCAACACCTGCCCCACCCTCTCACCGGTGAGGGGCCCCACGTTCCAGGCAATGTTGTTGCACCAGCCGGTGGCCTGCACCCAGTGCACAGTCCCCGCATTAATCCACACAAGGTCTCCAGGGCGCTGCACAAAGCGGTACACAGGGATATTGGATGCATAGAGATCATCCAGGATTGGCCACCAGGAACCCGTCAGGTAGTCCACGCCGTGCCTGTGAGGTGGCCACAAAGTCAGGTGGGAACTGGGGACCGAGGGCGGGGACGCGGTAGACTGACTCGCGTGGAACAGCACGCACCGGTCACAGAAGGCGCTGATGGTCTCCCAGTAGTGCTCGTGCACCGCGAACCACTCGCAGTCACCAGGACCAATGTTGATGTTGACGGAGCAGAAGTTGTTGTTCTCTTGGTGGCCTGCAGGGGTCGACAGAGAACGGCATGGCTGGCCCGGTCAGAGCTGCGATCCCTGCCAGCCCCGCCCTCTGCCCTCATTGGCTGACGGCTGAGCGCCGCCGCCAACCCCTCCTCTCGCGTTTCCCGAAACGGCGCGCTCAGCTGTGGAGCGCACCTGGCGTTCGGCTGCCTGGCACCTTCATATACAGCTGCACCGTGTTCATGCCCAGGATGGTGTGGCCCACGTGGCTCAGCATGTTGCCCGTGGATGTTACCCGCATGAAGGCGGGCAGCTTCAGCAACTCCTGCAGCTGGGGCTTCCACCTGCAGTGCAAAAGTGCAACGAGAGAGAGGCTACACCCCGCCCCCACCGCGAGGTCCCAGCAGCATTCCTGCCCCAGCTTTGCTAGCCTCAGCCCCACTGACCGCTTGGCATCAGACAGGTCGATGTTGGTGCCAAACTTGATGATGTGATGGTTCTTCGGGTCCGGTGCGCTGCTGCTGGGACGAAGAGCACAGGTTGTTGGAGAGCAGAGGGAGGGGAAGGAAGCAGGAAGGGAAGGGACACACCGGTACCGTACCTAGGAGGGGTTCCTGTGGTGCTGTCCGGCTCCTCTGACTCCTCATCCTCACTCTCCTTCTCCTCCTGCTCAGCCAGAGGGTCGGCAGGCCTGGGTCAGAGACCTTCCAGGAGCCCTCCCACCGCACCCCCAGTCCCAGGACCTGCCTCTAGCCACATTCTCCTCTCACCTGCAGAGACTCCTGGAAGGATGAGGCCTGGTACTGTGCGTACTTGGCAATGGTGGTGTGGGAACGGGAGCTCTCGCAGGGCCAAATCTGTCGAGTGCCTGTCAGGTCCCAGTTCTCATCTGAGGGCTGCTGCACCTGTGTGCGGACCTCCACGGTGTGCTCGCCACTCGCCTCCACCAGTGTCTTGGTGGAGAACAGGCCCAAGTCTGCAAGGGAGGGCTGAGTAGAACGTGGGGGCAGAGGCAGAGGATAGGGACCAAGGACCTGACAGACCCTTTCCCTTTCTTCCTCCTCTGGCCTCTAACAGGGTGGTCCTAGGCTTAGCAAAGCTCAGTCCAGGAGAAATAGGCAGAAACCCTGGCCCCACAGAAAACTGGGAGTGTTGGCCTCTATCTGCATCACTAGCCCTCTTTCTCCTGCAGCTGCTCAAGGACTCAGCCCCTAGACCAGTGTCCTCAGGTGTACACGTGGCCATATGCACCGCACCTGGCACATAGTAGGTGCTCAATGAATGGCAGGTTCTCTTTTTTCCCATTTGGAATCTTTCTAGTCAAAACAGCAGCTTCTTTGAGATACCATTGGATCCAATTAAAGATTCAGTCAAGTGAAAACCTGAAGTGTGCTTCAAATAACTCAGTGTGGAGAAGGGAGGTATACAGGTATAAAGGAGACAAGATTGACCTTTATATTTCTATAGTTTCCTCTAATTTTCTGTGTTTGGAATTTTGCACAATAAAAGACTGAGAGAGAGAGAGCCCCAAAATCACATCTTCAGGGGTATTCTAAAATCTGTATTCTTCTCATCCTTAATCACAAAGAAATTCCTAAATGACTAGGGCCCTGACTATGGCCCCTTCTCCCTTGCCAAATGCTGGGGATAGACAGACAGATAGGAGAAGAGCCCAAGGCCAGCTGACTCATCACTCAGAGAATTCCTCATAGCCACTGTGGGTTTTCTGGTGTGGGATTTCTCAGAGGGTGCCAAATTCCCCAGGCCCTTGTAGCCCTCCCTGACACTCTGCCTCCCATACTCACTGAGCCGCAGGGAGCCCGCCAGGCCCCGGATCACCGTGATGGGATTTCGAGGGTCTGTACAGAACTGTAGCAGGACCGGTGAGAACGCATCCCGTTTGCTCTCCAGCTGAGACATGACCAGAAGAGCTGGGGTCAGAGCCCTGGCCCAGACTCAGAGCACCCCAGCTGTCCCCAGCACTGTCTTAGAACCCGCTGGTAGGGGTGGTTCTGAGTACAAGTGGCACACATACATAGATACTGGGTGTAGGGGGATTGAGTTTTTCCCGGGGCAGCTTCTCCTCAGTGTTGATCTTCGGTTTCACAGACTGGGCAGGGGAAAGGTAGGACTCTCGAAACTTCCCTTTCACCT